CACCGCGCTGCACGGCCGGACGGAGGTAGGTGATAGAGGTCGGTTCGGGGAGGGTATACCTTTACCGTCGGGGCCCCGAAGAAGGAGCCCTTTTCGTTGGGGAGGGGCTCCGCGTTCCTTAAGTTGGACGCCCGAGTTATCCGGGGTAACTCGGGTCCGGGGTAACTCGGGTTTGGGCTCCCGAAAAACAAACCCGAGTTAACCCTGACCCGAGTTACCCCTGATGATTCGGGGCTCTGGACGCCCGAGATATCCGGGGTAACTCGGGTCCGGGGTAACTCGGGTTCGGAATCCCGAAAAACAAACCCGAGTTAACCCTGACCCGAGTTACCCCTGATGATTCGGGGCTCTGGACGCCCGAGATATCCGGGGTAACTCGGGTCTGGGATAACTCGGGTTCGGAATCCCGAAAAACAAACCCGAGTTAACCCTGACCCGAGTTACCCCTGATGATTCGGGGCTCTGATTAAGTGTTTCGCAGCTTGCCTCAGGTTTTCCTTATGTTCTCGATCGGAAATCGAAGCTTAACTTATGGAGACAAGGGGCCTCGTTCCTTATCTGGGGTTCCTTAGGTCAACGCCCCGACTGTAATGTTCTTCGTGCCTGCTGGATGCTCTTCGTGCATCCTGCGGATGGCATATTGGCCGGCGGAGGGCCTCGTGCTCTGTGTGTGGTGGCCGGCAGAGGGCCTCTGTGCTCTCCAGAGATCATGGCATCATCGCTCGGACGTGTGCCTTTTTTCCTCGGAGGGGACCCTCGAGGGGCATCCTGGATCATTTGGCGAAAAAACCCTCCTCCTCCTCCTCCTCCTCCTCCTCCTCCTCCGCCTCCTCCTCCTCCGCCTCCTCCGCCTCCTCCTCCTCCTCCTCCTCGAAACCGAAAAAAAAAAACAGGGAATGGACGTCCGAGCGATGGCGAGCAGAGATGCCTCTCTCTGCCCCAGCCCCGGCTGTGGCCGAGCGACGCCTCGCCGGAGCTCTCCCGCGGTGCGGGCCCACGGGGGGCTCCCCCAGCATAGGACCTGCACACGCCGGGGCGCGGCGTCTCTCCGAGAGGCCCCTCCGCGGCCGCGCTTGCCGGGGGCCCGTCTCTCGCCTCCGGCTTGGCATCGCTCGGGCGTGTGCATTTTTTCTTCGGCGAGGACCATCGAGGAGGAGGAGGAGGAGGAGGAGGAGGAGGAGGAGGAGGGGCGGGAGGAGGAGGAGGAGGAGGAGGAGGAGGGGGACCCTCGAGGAGCAGCCTTGAGCCTTTGGCGAAGAAACCACGCACGAAACTGGAAAAACACGCAGGGAAGGGACGTCCGAGCGATGGCGAGCCGGGCTCGCTCTTGCGCGGGAGCGCGAGAGCCCCATGCTCTCGCGCTCGGGCCGGCTGGGCGGCCGCAGCGCGAGGCTCGAGCGCGCCGCAGCTCGGGGTGCGCAGGCGCTCTGCGCGACGAGCCGCCCGTCCCGGCTGTTGCCGGTGCAGCCTTCGTGGGTCGGGCCGGACGAAAGGGGGGGATTGGGAAAGGGGAGGTTACGAAATCTGCTGCATGCAGCTGGTTTCGGCCCCACCGAGGGGCCCATTCCTCGATACGTGGCCGCCTCCTGGCGCCGGGAGGCGCCGGGAGAATCAGCTACGCGAGCTGATTCTCAAACCCCCCCTTTGCTATCCCCCCTTTCGCCCGACCCGAGTGGGACGTCTGCAGCAGGAGCTCGCGTCGATGCTCAGGCTGGATCTCGTCAGTTTCGCGGTGGCCCCGTGAGGCCAACCCGAGTCCCCCGGACCCGAGTCTTATGGCTCCACGAGATCAGCGGCCCGTGGCCGGTCTTAGGTCGGGCGCGTCCCTCTACAGGGGGAGCACTCAGAAATAGTCGGAAAAGAGTTTGGGGACGATGTTTCGACTGTGTGTGATGATCTTTGGAGTGTTTTGGGGAGGCGTCCGTGCTCGTTGTGAAGAAGTCCCGGCTGTCTCCATCGGCAGCCTGCCTGTTCGCGTGCCGCATCGAGGATGGAGGGACCCCCGGACCCCAAAGGCACAGCGAAGACGCGGCCTCACGGAGGTCCCGTCTCTGGATTACTTGGCATCGCTCGGACGTGTGCATTTTTCCTTCGGCAAGGACCATCGAGGAGCACCCTTGATAATTTGGCGAAAAAGCCACGCACGAAACTGGCAAAAACACAGAGAATGGACGTCCGAGCGATGGCGAGATTAGGGGTAATGATGATTGACGGTCTGGCCCGATGCATCTGCAAATAAGACCACCTGTCGGGTACGCGTCATCGCCGACGACGAACGACGAACAAGACGACGACGACGACGACGACGACGACGACGACGAACAAGACGACGACGACGACGACGACGACGACGACGACGACGACGACGACGACGCGACGACGACGACGCGACGACGACGACGTCCAAAATCCTCGGGCCAGCCACGGTGCCCGCCGGGCCTCCGCGGGCGCCCGCCGGTGCGCGAGGCGTGGCGCGAGCGCAGGGGATCGCCGGTCGCGGGCGCCGCGGCCTCGCGGGCCAGGCGTACGTCGGGACCCGCCCTCTGATTCTCCTCCCTTCGGACAATTTGTCATCCTCCTCCCCTCCATCGTCGACCTCCTCCTCCTCCTGGACCTCCTCCTCCTCCTCCTCCTCCTCCTCTTCCTCCTCCTCCTCCTCCTCCTCTTTCTCCTGTTCCTCCTCCTCCTCCTCCTCCTCCTCCTCCTCCTCCTCCTCCTCCTCTTTCTTCTTCTTCTTCTCCTCCTCCTCCTCCTCCTCTTGCTCGGACTCATCGTCCTCGCGAGTTTGTCAAGTTCTGCCCCAGGAGGAATAGTCAGAGATGGTACGAAGACAGTCGGGGGGCGATTTTGCTGAGCATTTTTGAGCTATTTGGGGGGATGTCTTTTTTGTATGTTTCGTCCAAAATCCGCCTGTAGGGGGACCTGCCCGACCTAAGACGAGCATATCCGTATCCGCGGCCTCGCGGGCCAGCCCCCTGAGCCGCGACCCTGCGGATACGGGGCGTTTCTTCGCGAATGCCCCGCGCGGAATGAATGCGTGCGACCGGGTTTTCGCGGGATCGCGCCCTGGAATCTGGACCGCGAGGGGCCTGGATACGGACATGTTCGCCGCTCGTGAGCTCGATTATTTGATGGCGGACCCGTCCACCCAGCCACCAAGATAGCGCGCGCTTCAAGAAGAATATGAGTTTCAGGCGGCCCGACGGGAGATGCCAGCGGTGCTTTTACACACGCGCATGCTTGCAGTTCCAGCTCTTCTGGTGGACTGGCAGAGTCGACGGGGAGCGGCTACGAGGGAGCGGGTACGCCATGCGGACGCTGCCGCCGTGGCCACGAAGCGTGCGAAGGCGCTTGCCGAATTGGGTGCGGGTCGGTTGATGGACAAAGTCCTGCACCAGCCGCACAACTGGGGCGACGGCGCAAACTTCCACGCGCCCCCGATGCGCCCGATTCAATGTTGAGTGGCTGCGCCCGCGGGGTGCAGGATTTAGGCCAGTCGGCGGATCGACAAATCGCGCCGCAGCCTGCCAACATTAGATTGGGGGCGCGGGGGGCGAAAACAAAAATTTGAAAAAAGGTGCAGGATGTTGTCCATCAACGGGGGCCTTCGGTGGAGCTCCGTATGGGGCCCTGTCACGAGTGAGGGGTGTGCCGCACGGCGCGGGCGCATGTGGACGCACCCAGTGGGACCTTGGGCGGAGCTCCCGTCTGGAGCCATGAACCGCGTGAGGGGTAGACGCAGCGACTGGGGCCACGGCTCGTGTGAGAGGCGTGCCGACACTGGTGGCGCGCGTGTGCGGGCGGACGCTCGGGCGTTCTGGGACCACGGGACGCCTGAGGGGTGCCGACATGCGGACGTTGCAGCTGGGGCAGCGGGAGCGTGTGAGGGGCGTGCCGCAGAGCGCGCGAGGGGTGTACCGAAGGGTCGCCACGCGGAGGGCAGAGGCAGGGATCAGGGGGAGGAATGGAGGAGGAGGAGGAGGAGGAGGAGGGGGAGGAGGAGGAGGAGGGGGAGGAGGAGGAGGAGGAGGAGGAGGAGGAGCAGGAGGAGGAGGAGGGGGAGGAGGGGAGGAGGAGGAGGAGGAGGTCTTGAGGTGATGTATGGGGTGGGTCTGGAGGGATGATGTCCACGGCAGGCCAGCGACCGTTTTTTCTTTCTCACCTCCCTTGCTGCCCTCCGTTACCTCGTCTCGATCCCGTTGATCTCGCTTCTCACCTTTTCCTTAATGCACCCCCGCCTACCCACAGGGTTTAGCCTTGGGAAGGTGGCAGGACAGGCTTGTAGGTACCAGGGACCCCCCGATCTACCCCGAGTCAGTCAGGAGGAGGAGGAGGAGGAGGAGGAGGAGGAAGGACGCGGCGCGCTGTCTTTTCAAAACGAGGACCCCACACCAAAGGATAGTTGGGAAATGCATAAAATGGTGTGTGGCAGGCTTCAGTCACAGAGACCAGCGTGTAATTCCGTCGCGCGGGTGTGGCATGGCATCCGCACAGTACCGTTGTTCAAAGGGGACTCACTCGTGCTTCCGTTGCGCGATTGGGCCGTGTCGTGCCGTGCGTGGATCACAGACGGGTGCAGCTCGTAGTTCCGTTGCGCGGGCTCGCCGTGTTGTGTCGCGTCGTGCTCGCATCTCGTAATCCTTTGCGTGTGCGTGCCGTGTCATGCCGTGTTTTGGTGCGTTCCCGGTTTGTCGGTCTGTCCCAGCTGTGCCATATTGCACACTCATCAGGTTCAGGGCCTCTTGGCGGGAGAACGCTTGTTTGGCCTGTGGGCCTGTTTGTTCCGCTCCCCTGCTCGTTCCCCGAGTTCCATCTGCCGTTCCGTCGTCTCCGTTCCTTGCTTGCGTGCGTATTCCCACCACGTTTCTATTCGCCCGGCCTTTCCCACCTCCTCCGCCTCCTCCGCCTCCTCCTCCTCCTCCTCCTCGTCTTCGCAGTGGGTTTTCGTCCTCTCTCGCTCCCCCTCCGCTTTCACTCGGCCCCGCTGCGCGCCTGGGGAGGTCGGGGAAGCGTACCTCAAGAAGGTGTTCGACGCTCTGCCCGAGGACTCCCACGGCTTCGGCGCGGGGCCCAGTGCACAGAGGATGACGACAAATGCGGCGTCCTCCTCCTCTGCCGACCTTCTTGCCTCCACTTGGGCGCGAGGGGGATCAGAGGGTGGGGCGAGCGCGAGGGCGAGAGACATGACAGGGAGGAGCAGGGGAGGCGGGGGGTAGGAAGGAGGCTGAGGACGGAGGAGGAGGCGAGCAGGAGGGGACGAGCGGACAGGTGGACAGGTGATGGAAGGGAAAAGGAAGAAGACGTCGACGACGACGACGACGACGACGACGAGGCGGCGAGAAGCGCGGCCAATATTACCTGTGCCCGACCGTTGCACGGCCGAGTAGAATGCCTCCGCGCTGACGGAGCCTGCTTCTGGGACGCCCCTCAGGACCCAGAGATCCGATGTCGTGACTTTCTCCATGCGGGATCCCCGGAAGTCTCGACCCATTCCCCAGGACCGGCTTTTCATCCTGAGTCGTTTTGGTGACGGCCCCGAGGCCCGGCGAGGGCCCCTGGGGGCCGAACTCTGCGAAAAACCTCCGCCTCGATTTTTCCAATGCCTTGGCTCTCTGGGGAGGGCGCCGCCGACCCAGACCCCCGACGTCATGATTTTTTCATGACGTCGACCCCCAGCAGTCTGGACCCATCCCCCGGGACCGGTTTTTCGTCCTGAGTCGTTTTTTGACGGTCCCGAGGGCCGGTAAGGCCCCCCAGAGGCCGAAATTGGCGAAAAACCTCCCGTCGTGATTTTTTCATAACTCGAGGGGGTCTGGGGACGGCGCTGCAGCAGCGGAGGCGCTCCCGGGCCCACGGGCGCCGCGGCCCGCTGCCGAGGGCACCGGGGCGGGCGAGGCCCTCGAGGGCGCCCGGCCGCGCCGCCCCCCCTCGCGGACCGGCTCCCGCGCCCGCCGCCGCCGCAGCGCCCCGCCCTCCGTGGGCGCTCGCCCGGCGCTCGGCGGCGGCCCAGCGATCCCAGACCCCCTCGAGTTATGAAAAAATCACGACGGGAGGTTTTTCGCCATTTTCGGCCTCTGGGGGGCCTTACCGGCCCTCGGGACCGTCAAAAAACGACTCAGGACGAAAAACCGGTCCCGGGGGATGGGTCCAGACTGCTGGGGGTCGACGTCATGAAAAATTCATGACGTCGGGGGTCTGGGGATGGGGGAATCCTGCTATGTGTATATTTATTTAATCGCTTCGCTCATTCCGCCGGCCCATAATGTCGCACCGTGGTCGCCTGTCCGAGTGGTCGTTTGCAGTGTGGAGCTGCGGCGTCGGGAGCTGTGTAGTGTTGGGGGCGTTCTTGGGGCCCTCTTGGGCCGTCCTGGAGGCCTCTGGGGCCGTCTTGGAGCCGTCTTGGGCCGTCTTGGGGCCCTCTTGGGGGCCTCTTGGGCCCTCTTGGGGCGATCTTGGAGGCCTCTTGAGCCGTTTAGGGGCGTCGGGGAACCGAAAAGGTTAAAACGCCCAAATCTGTCCAACACCAAAGGAAAAGCACAGGTTTTTGCCTCTTGGGGCCCTCTTGGGAGTTCTCTTGGAGGCCTCTTGGGGCATCTTGGAGGCTTCTTGGGCCATCTTGGAGACGTCTTGGGCCGTCCGGAGGCCATCTTGGGCGTCGTGGAGCGATCTTCGGGCGTCTCGGACCTCTCTTGGACCGTGTTGGGGGCGTTCTTGGGGCCCTCTTGGGCCGTCTTGGAGGCCTCTGGGGCCGTCTTGGAGCCGTCTTGGGCCGTCTTGGGGCCCTTTTGAGGGCCTCTTGGGCCCTCTTGGGGCGATCTTGGAGGCCTCTTGAGCCGTTTAGGGGCGTCGGGGAACCGAAAAGGTTGAAACGCCCAAATCTGTCCAAAACCTAAGAAAAAGCATTGATTTTTGCCTCTTGGGGCCCTCTTGGGAGTGCTCCTGGAGGTCTCTTGGGGCATCTTGGAGGCTTGTTGGGTCATCTTGGAGACGTCTTGGGCCGTCTGGAGGCCATCTTGGGCGCTGTGGAGCGATCTTCGGGCGTCTCGGACCTCTCTTGGATTGTGTTGGGGGCCTCTTGGGGCCCTCTTGGGGCGATCCTGGAGGATCTGGGGGAGTGTCCCGGGCTCCGCCCGGGCTCCGCCCGGGGTACACCTTGGGCGATGCTTAAGAAAACCTAAGTTTTCGGCCAGAGTCTCGATTAGTCTTAACGTTTCAATGTAAATCCTAAGATGTCAATAGAAATGTTGGGTTTTTACGCAAGTTCTGAGACTATGAATTTCTTAACCCATGATTTCTTAAGCATTTCGCAGGGTGTACTTTTGATCCAGGGACCCCGAGGGGCCGCCCCGCGCGCGCGAACTAGAAGTACTGTTTACCAGTTACCGGAGATCTTAGCACGCCTCTGGCCCGTTGGGCCGGCGAATTTGTGTGTGTTTGTGAGCCCCTTCGGTTGAACCGATCCCCATCCCCATCTGCATCCCCTTCCCACCAAATTGCCACCCCAGTTCGGGATGCACCCCTCGAAACCCGAAGAGAACTGCCTATATCCTTACCTATACGACCACCCTTCAGGTGATAAGGAGGTTGTGGGGGGGGAGAAAGGGGGGACCAACATCTGACTCTATCGATCTCACTAACTATCGATCTCACTCAACGGAACACCACGGGACACTTGTCGATCTCACTGTCGATCTCACTATCGATCTCACTCAACGGGACATCACGGGACACCGCGGAACACCTCTCGATCTCACTATCGGTCTCACTATCGATCTCACTATCAATCTCACTCAACAGGACACCATAGGACACCACGGGACACCTCAGGACGAGGAAGAGGAGACGGAGGAGGGGAGGAGGAGGAGGAGGAGGAGGAGGAGGAGGAGGAGGGGGAGGAGGAGGGCGAGGAGGAGGAGGGAGGCGAACGAGGAGGAGGAGAAGGAGGAGGCGGAGGAGGAGGAGGAGGAAGAGGAGGAGGAGGGAGGAGGAGGAGGAGGAGAGAGGAAGAGGAGGAGGAGGAGGAGGAGGAGGAAGAGGAGACGGAGGAGGGGGGAGGAGGAGGAAGAGAGACGGAGGAGGGGGGGAGGAGGAGGAGGAGGAGGAGGAGGAGGAGGAGGAGGAGGAGGAGGAGGAGGAAGAGTTGGAGGAGGAAGAGGAGGAGGAGGAGGAGAAGGAGGAGGCGGAGGAGGAGGAGGAGGCGGAGGAGGAGGAGGAGGAGGAGGAGGAGGAGACAGAGGAGAAGAAGGAGGAGGAGGAGGAGGAAAGGAGGAGGAGGAAGCGGAGGAGGAGGAAGAGGAGGCGGAGGAGGAGGGGGAGGAGAGGGAGAGAGGAGGGAGGCAGGAGAATGGAAGAGGGAGGAGGGAGGAAGGCGGTGAGGGAGGGAGGGAAGGAGCAGCATCGCGTCTTTCTCAATACCTGTTGCCTGCCTAATCGGAGTGCTCGCGCGCAGGTGTCGGCAGAGCCGACGGTGCCACTGACAGCGCGGGTGCCTGGGACGGCGTGGCGGGAGGCGGAGGCGCATATCCACGGCGGTTGGCACCAGGCCGAAAGGAGGGGAAGAGAGCTCAAGCTTGGACGAGGGAGGAGCGGAGCGAAGAGGAGGAGGAGGAGGAGGAGGAGGACGGAGGACGGAGGACGGAGGAGGACGGAGGACGGAGGGACGGACGGAGGGAAGGAAGAAGGAGGAGAAGGAGGAGGAAGAGGAGGAGGGATGAGGGAGGAGGGAGGACGGAGGAGAGGGGGAGGGGGCACGTTAGGTGCGCTCGCGTCTACATCTGACATCCTACCCCTCCCTCCCATCCCTTACCATGGCGCTGATTTTCTCTATCCGCGGACGCGTGTCGTAGCGGACCTGTGGCTCCGCGCGCGTGTGCGTAGTGGGTGGTGGTGCGCGTGCGTGCGTGCGTGTGTGCGTGGTGTGGTGGTGTGGTGGTGGTGTGTGTGTGTGTGTGTGCGTGTGTGCGCGTGTGCTGTGGTGTGACGTGGTGTGGCGTCTTGGTGGTTTGGTGGTGGGCCAGGTGCGTACGTGCGTGATGGCGGTGGTGGTGGTGGTGGTGGCGGTGGTGGTGTATGTGTGTGTGTGTGTTTCCAATACTGTTACACACCTCCTCCTCCCAGACCGCCGTTACGACAACCCTCCACGCGAAGCGCCGTTACGACAGACCCCCTTCTGTACACCTCCACACCAAAGATCTCGATGAAGTCAGCGCGGAAGTCGAAAGACTCGAAGATACGATAAAGTTCCAAGGAGCCTATCTTGCAACTGCGGCACGTGCTAACCCCCAGCCCCTGGCGTTGCGACGATTCCTGTCTTTTTTCTCTCGGCCGTCGCCGGCCTCGGTTTCTGTCACGCCCGGCTCTCGGACGTGGGGTCAGAGCACTCGCAGTACACCACAGAAGGAGACAGAATAGAGGAGATGCTATGGGATATATGTATGGGATGAGATAAGAGTAAGATGCTCAAAAAAGACTGGCCCTGACCAGCCTTGGGAGATGGTAATGGGGTTTAAGGATCCCCCCTCACCGCACAGGGCCTGACATGCGAGTTGACAGCTGTAGTTACAGCTGTTACTAGTGTGGCCCTACAAATCCAACACGCATAGCACAGCGCTAACATAGCAACGCTTGCAACTGTCACTGCGCACGCGGCAATGCAGGGCTCACTCAGGAATCGTCTGCAGATCAGCGCGCGGAGGATGAGGACAACAGCGTCGGCCAGTAGAGCCCATGGCCCCACGAGCACAATGAATGCTGCCCGGCACACTTCGCTGCCGATCACCCTCGGCAGCTGGGAGAGGTACGTAACAATGACAAGGAGTATATCTCTCATCGTCATTATGCTTATGGTGGTCGTACTTGGAATTGCTCTAATCTCCACCGGTGTAGTCCCAGAGCTGGCGGATCATCTTCATCTTGGTGTTGCCCTTGGCCGTGCCCGGCGGGAGGCACCTGTCGATAGCCTTCTGAAGCTTATCCGTGGTAGTATTGGAGTTGACCTTATCGAAAAAGTCCTCGACGCTTTCGAACCAGCTCTCATCCGTGTCAGAATCTGGGATCTCCAA